AGGGCACAGGAAGGGGTCAGCCTGCATGATGACAGGCGACACCTGCGGCTGCCCCAGGTGCAGATGTATCTCAAGGACACGTGGATCAGCACGCTGAAGGTGGCCATGCGCAGCAGCCTGCGGGACATGAGCAAGGGCTGGTACAACCTGTACGAGACCCGCTGGGAGGTGTACCTCATGTCGAAGCTGCGCAAGCTGATGGAGCTCATCAAGTACATGCTGCAGGACTCGCTGCGCTTCCTGGTGCAGGACTCGCTGGCCAGCTTCACGCAGTTCATCAGTGACGCCTGCTGCAGCGTGCTCGACTGCAGCGAAGACATGGTCTGGGGCGACGACCTCATCAACAGCCCCTACAGGTGGGCCCCGGTGGCCAGGGTGGATGGGGGCAGGGTGGGGAGCATCCAGGGTCAGGGCGCTGCCAGGGCCCATCCACCCGTTTCCTCTGGCTTCGTTCCCTTGGTCCCTGAGGCTCTCAGACGAGGCTGGCTCTTGAAGACACCTGTTTACGGTTGCTGTCTTGGTTCTCCAGTGCCCTGTAATGACACCCCAGATGGATGGTTTTGGCAGATGGTCCCTTGTCTTCTCACAGCTCAGGAGGCTGGAAGTCCCGGTCCCTGGGGCCGGCACTAGGGGAAGGCTCCCTCCGTTCCTGTCTCCTTTCAGCCCCCGGGGTCCTTTCCGCCTCCTTTCAGCTCCCTTGGAGACCCCGTGTGTCTCGGCATCCCTCTTCCCCTGGGTCTCAGCGCCGGGACCCTGGGTCCGAAGGACTCCCGAGCTCCCGCTCCTCCGCCTCGGTGGCACTGAGGCTCCTCTGAGCTCTACTCCCTTGGTCAGTCCCTGTGGTCTCAGAAGACGTGAGCTCGAGATGCAGCCTCAACCTGCTCACGGACCCTGACCCTTACCACTGCGGCCAATAACCCTGCTTCTCGGAGCTCAGGGCTTATGCACCACGTCATGCAGGGTGCTGAGAATCAAGGAGAAAGCATCACGGCCTGGCCAAGCGGACACATGCTGGGGGGTGGGGTGAAGCGCAGCGACGGCGACTCGGAATCCGTTCCGGAGGACCCAGTGAGCAAGGTGTGCAGTGGACGCAAGGAGGCACCCTGTGCGTGGGCAGCTTGGTGACGGCCTTCCCCGGTCTCCAGTGACACCATGGCCACCAAGTGTCTCCTGAGCCCCTCCCTGAACTGGGCGCAGCTCTGGGGAAACGAGAGACAGACAGACAGATGTGGTCCCTGCTCCCATTGACGTGGGGGGTACGAGGGGTGGCAAGAGGGGCAGGTAGCAGCAGACAAACCAGGACACAGACAGGGCCACTCGGGGCATGGCCAGGGCTTGGCATGCGGACACTGACGGGCTGGGCCTCTGAGCCACGACCAGCCTGACTGTGGAGGGTGGGCACTGGGAGTGGGGTGAGCCGGGTGGGACAGAGGCTCTGCGGTGAGAGAGGGCAAGGCCATTCCAGCACTGTGGCTGGAGCCCAGAAAGGGGCAGGGTGAGGTGGGAGCGGTCAGCAGGCCTCCGGGCTTGTTTCCCGCTCTGGGACGGCATCATCTCAGTGGAACGCGGGGCCCTGGAGTGTCGTGGGCTCGGTTTGGGGCCGTGAAGCACACACGGTCAGCAGTTTGAACCCACCAGCTGCTGCTTGGGAGAAAGGAGACTGTGTGTTTCCCATGAAGACTTACCGCCTCAGAGGATCAACTGGATGGCAGTGGGTTTGGGCTTTCAGTTCCATGGGGGTGGGGGTGGGGACTTTATTGGGGGCCCAGGGCCATAGGGTTTGAGAGGAATCCACTTATAGGAGGCAGTGGGGCTGGTGGAGGGGGGTCTCTTCTTTGACAACATTTTTGGGGGTACAGCTGCTGGTGTTGCCGTGGTCCTGGGCGAGCTGGCTCAGAGAAGCCTCCCTCTCTCCATCTGGGGTGCAGCTGTCCCCCTACCGTGCGCCGCATGCTGCTGCACAGGGGCTGGCCTCCTTGTGTCAGGCGCTCCTGCGATGTGGTGTGGTGCCTACCCTTGGTGTGATGGCCTTGCCGGGCAGGCTCCTCGCTCTGCCTCTGTGTCCATCAGCTGTCTGCAGCTTGGCCGCCTGGTTGCAGAGAAGGGGCCTTGGCGCCGCCTGAGGGAAGAGCGAGCCTGGGCTGCTTTGCACTCAGGTGGCAAAGGGAGCCGGGGTCTGGGGACCAGTGGGGCAGCGGGGCTGGGGTCCTGGTTGTCCTCTGGATGCTGGGGGCCCAGAGTTGGGGGAGGGGGTCGCCTGCCCTTCTCAGGGCTGACTCCGAGCCTGCTCCAAGAGTGTGCGTCAGGGAACAAAGCATGGAGTTCCAGAATGTGCCCTGGGCACAAAGCCCTGGGGAGGAGCAGGTGGGAGTGGGGGGTCAGGGTGGACAGGGGCATTTGAGATGCCCACAAGGGCTCCGAGAGGACACCCTGGGGTGGCAGGAAGCCTGGGCTGAGGTCAGGTTTGGGGACTATAAACACCCAGCTTCTGAGGCCAGGGATAGATGGGTGCCAGGGGCAGCTGGGCTGCTAGCTCCAGGCCTGAGGGCCGGCGTCCCTCTGTAGTGCCTGGGCTCCAGGCACATGGCCGGCCAGAGAGCCTGGGTGGCTGGTCTGGGTTCTCTCTCCCCAAAACTCGGAGGCTCCTGGGGGAGAGGAGGAGACATTCGTTGTGGGTCATGGAGAATCTCAAAGCCGCAGCCCATGCGGAAGGAGAGCTGGCAGAGTCTCCTGAACTTGGGCTTCCTCAGGCCCCTGGCTCAAGGTCAGCCAGCCATTGCCCCGCAGGCCCCGTAGACACCCGCTATTCATCATGGACCTGGTGCTGGACAGCTCGGGGGTGCACTACAGCACGCCGCTGGAGCAGTTCGAGACAGCGCTGCTCAGCCTCTTCGACAAGGGCATCCTGGCCACCCATGCCGTGCCCCAGTTAGAGAAGGTACAGCGGGGGGGCACCTGAGGGAGGGCTGCCGCAGCAGAGCCCCCCATGGTAGACCGTGTGCTGGGTTCAGGTCCTTGAGCATGTAGGCAAGCCAGCAGCAGCTACTGCTCCGCTAACCCCAAGCCACACAGCCACCAAGAGGCTGCCCGTCCTGGCTGCATCCACCCTTCTGCCCTGGCCTGAGTGCCACAGCCCGGCCTGCCCACTGCTGGCCTTTCCCTCTGTCTTGAGAGGTGGCCACTAGCTGGTGACCTCCACACCCAGACTCTTTGTCATGACTGCTGTGCTTGTCTTGGGCTGTGTATAGCCCACTCCCTTGGGCTCCCTCTTGTCCTCCTCGCTGGTCCATCCGAACCACCCGTGGCCTGTCACGCCTCTCTGCTCCTTTCCTTGGCCCAGGGGGAGCCAGCACAGGCAGGGGGAGAGCTGTCACTCCGGCATGCCTCATGGTGGAGGCCTGCCCTGGACAGGCCCACGGCCCCAACTCAGAAGCACCACAGCTGAACCCCTCCTGTCCCGGACTTGACCACGGCCCCTCTCCCTGCAGATGGTGATGGAGGACATCTTCATCAGCGGCAACCCCCTGCTGGAGTCGGTGGGGCTGCACGAGCCCCTGGTGGAGGAGTTCCGGGCTGCTATCGCCAACGCAATACGCAAGGCGATCATCCCCCTGCAGGCCTATGCCAGGGAGTATAACAAGTACCTGGAGCTGCACAACAAGGACATCGCCACCTTCCTCAGGTGTGGGCGCGGCGCGGTGCTGGGGGCACGTGTGCATGCCCGCGGCACTACCCGCCTTCCTCACCTTCCTCTGGCCCCTCCTGCGCCCCAGAGACTATCAGAAGCAGTGCCCAACGGCAGAGGAGGTACGGCAGGTGGTCCTCACGCACCTGCAGGAGAAAGATGTCCTGGACACCTCGCTGCCCAGCAACCTGGTCATCGGGCCCTTCTTCATCAACGTGGAGAACGTCAAGCAGAGTCTGTCCAAGAAGAGGAAGGCCTTGGCCACGTCCATGCTCGACATCCTGGCCAAGAACCTGCACACGGAGGTGGACGCTGTACGTGTCTGCCCCGGACGCAGGCGCTCCTCTTAGGGAGATGCCCCTGTCGGCCGGGGGCCAGGGCTGGGGGTGGTCTATAGACCCCAGGCCAATGGAAGGAGCGGGAAGTCTCTGTGTTCTGCTCCGGGCTGTCTGGGGGAGCAATCCCCTAGGAGGGGGTTCCCGTGGAGTGAAAGGGACCTTGGGGTTCGCTGTCTGAAGCTGAGGCTGTGCCTGCGGAGCCTCAGGAGGCCCAGGGTGTCGTGGAGGCAGGCGTGAGCTGCCCCCCCCACCCCCGACAGTGCCTGCGGGTGGTCCCGTGAGGTCTCAGCTGACCGGCACCCCAACTGGAGACTACAGGGTGCAGGGAGGTGGGGGGGCGACCCCAGGGAGGCCAGGGAGGGTCCTGCCACCGCCATCACCACTGCCCGCACCCGCCTCCGCTCTGCTGCCAGATCTGTGAGGAGTTCCGCAGCATCAGCCGCAAGATGTACGGGAAGCCCAACAGCATCGAGGAGCTGGCGGAGCTTCGCGAGTGGATGAAGGGCATCCCCGAGCAGCTCGTCGGGCTGCAGGTGAGGGAGGGTGGTCAGCGTTCTGGTCCGAGGCCTTGGGGGCGATGTGGGCGCATGGGGGAGGAGGCAGGGGATCAGAGGTTCACAGCCGCGGTATCTAGGGGTGGGGATCGTGGTGAGGAGGCCCCCGAAACCGGAGCCCAATGCTGATCTTGCAGCTGCCAACCCCTACTCATGGCCCCCTCCCCTCTCTAGAGGGGGAGCAGCTTCTCCCCACCCCCCCACCCCCCTCCCAGGCCTGCATGCATTGCCCACCCCACCCCCGCCCCCATCCATGCAGGAGCGGATTGTGAAGGTCATGGATGACTACCAGGTCACGGATGAGTTCTTCTACAGCCTCAGCATGGAGGACTTCAACGACAAGTGAGTGGGAGCCAGCCGGGGCGGGGGATGGGGGGTGGACAGCAGGAACCAGGGGGTTGGAGCTGGACCCCAGTGCCATCACGCCTGCCACTGGGGCCTGCATCCAGAACTCCAGCCACCACTGCCATGGGGTCATCTGGGCCCCCGGGCTGCACCCTGTGCCCCGCCGGACACCATGTGCTCACTGCAGGCTTGGGAGCCCTGTGTTTGTGGTTGGGCCTTCGGGGGTCCTGGGGAGTAGTGTGACCCTCCAGTCTGGTGGGCAGTCTCCAGGAAGGGGCATCCCCCCCTACCCAGCGCAAGAGCCCCGAGTGAGAAAGGGCTCCGAGGTATCAGTCTGCCAAGCCTTCCTGGAGACCACAGAGACCCGGCCAGCCTGTGAGGTCCAC